TTAAACACAAGACTATAACCCTCAAAACAAAATTCAAAACCAACAAATTAGAGAATTATAATAAGACATGTTTTATGTTTATCGGCATTAGATCATAGGACAGAAGTGTTATTCAAACATAACAGAGAAGACGAAGGTAAATGCAAAATGGATGGACATACATAGAAATGACTTCAAGGGAATTTAATAAGCAGACTTAATTAATTCTTATTCAATGAATATCAATATAATATCAACAATTATTTCTGTCTAGATCTTTAAACTGATTGGACCACCAGAAATCTGCAGCTACGCTTTGTGCCCAAGAGTAATTGCTTTTCAGGAAAACTTTTTTATTATACACCATCGAACTTGAATTAATCTCTTGTTGATTGAGTCTCAAATTAATGTCCACTTCCCCTACAGTGAGTTATTTCTCAATCATTCTATGTAATGCTTTGCATAGAATTAGTCCTTGTTTGAGTCCCATTCTTTTCAAAATTTGTTTTTTTTAAATTCTTTTTTAAACACATATTTTTTAATAAAATAATATTACACGCAAAGTCAAAACTTTTCTTTAATTTTTAACCACACATTCTCCACCAATCACTATTTAAAAATGCATTTTTTCCTTTAAAATGAGGTTCAAACAAAAATTTAATCTCAGAAGTTCAAAAATTTAATCTCGAAAGACTTCCAAGTGTGTCATTATAATGTTCGGTGGAAATGAAAATTAGATTTTTTAGTAGATTGTGATAGAAATTTTTGAAATATGTTGTTGAAAAGTTGTAAAATCCATAAAAAATATGATTAATATTGATTATTTGACTTTAATTTAAACCAAACAGGCACATAATTTCATTATGTACAAGACCTACGTAACTAATAAGTTTGGCAAAGCATCGCCATACAATCACATTTGTAACTTTTTTAAGTAATTAAATTACCGTCAAACAAGTTGAATCGATTAAGGTAAAGTGTCAAGAGTGAAAGATAAAATCGAACTCAAATGGTAATAACAATTTGAATATGATTTGGAGTCAACCTACTACTTATAAGATTCAATCCATCAATTTTAATTATTTTAATGGGTTCTAAAAGGATTTTTTTTTTTTTTTTCCTTCTATTGAATTAGTCTAGGGCGATTCAGATAACATTGTTAGTAATTTATTTGCATTCGATTAAAATTTATAGTATATTTTCGAAGATTGATTTTAATATTCCTTTAATCCATGTTTAGTCAAATAGGTTTTTGATTCATCCAACTATACCTATTATGTAAAATAACAAGATTTTAATAATATGTCTTCATTTGATTCTATTTTGGATCGGTTGAACTGTAAATTAAAATTTATTCATGAAAAGTTCTTGAGATACTTTATTGCTCTTTTGTAATACCTATTCTTATTTATAATTGTTATTTGCATTGACAATCGCCAAACTTTCATCTCAATTGTATTTCAACTAAAAATAATTGAGCCACTCATATTGAGATGATGAACAGATCTGCAATGTCAGAAAAGAAAAAAAAACTAATTGAAGCCCTGACCGACCCCTCACAATAGGGGGTGGGGTCACTTTTTTCTTCCAATTGTTTATTCATCCGGGACTGATGCTTTTGAGAGACGGTCAAAACCTCTATCATTATTTTTTTTGGCAGGAAGGCTTTTTTTTTAAGATAATAGTTAAAACTAAAGTTCGTATACCGATCCATTGAGTTAGTCAATTGTATTTGTGGGCACCCAATTTTCGGCCCAACTATAATTAGGTCACTGGGTTTTAATTTGTGACAATATGATCGAATAACTTTTATTCAACAGCAATCAAAATACTTCGTGTGAAACCAGTAAGATGACATAATGGTTGAACCCCAACCATTATGTCAGTTAGAACTAACGAATCTTTCACAATTTCATTCCCAACATCGAATTCTATCCTTTCATTTCCATTAAAAAAAAACATTTGAACGATTTTTGACCTTTTAAAAATACATTAACCAAAGTATCCATTGTCAAAATTCATTCGACCATCGGAAGAGAAAGAAAGAAAAATCTAGGATTTCTTTCGTAATTGGAAATCAACCTAATTGATGACATATACAGACAACTTCAAGGTATTTACATTGAGAATACTTATTCTCGAAGCATATATATTGAATGCTTTACAATAGGAGCATTTTCAAGAGATTCCCCAACCCCCCATCCCACCCCTCTTAAAGAGCATTTTGATCATAGATAATATATTTAAATTTATTGAGCAAATTTTTTTTTATACACTCCAATAAACTCTATATTTTTTATTTTATTTTTTCTCTCCTTTTGTAATTGATGATGTAGATTTTTTATTTCAATTGCTAAAATACTTTCTAAATTTGAATAATTTATGTATTCGAGCATTGAAACTATTAATTTTATTAAGGGGCCGTTCGGTAGTGATTATGAGAATTGATTTTTTTTTACTGTAAGGAAAAAAGTGGAAGCCACCAGTGAGTGAAAAAGTAAAAAATGACGACTGAAATAGCAAAATAATGATAAAAAAATTAATTTTTTGAGATGAAAAAGCACTACCAAACGGGAGCTAAATACAATCGTGAAAAAATATAAATAGAGAAGTGAGTTTGTCTCTTTCAACTGTAGAGCATAAAACACACTCTCTATTTTAAAAGTCAAAATAAATACGCTCTTTAATCCTAATCTCAAGGTTTGACTATATAAAGAGTATCTCACTTTAAAAAAATCTCTTGAATATACTTCAAGTATATAAAGACCATAGGAACTTCCTCTTTGATGAACCAAATCAACAAATATAGTAACTTGAGTCATTATCATCTCAAGATCAACAGCACATACTTTTAGAAAGTCGGGAGCTAAATACAATCGTGAAAAAATATAAATAGAGAAGTGAGTTTGTCTCTTTCAACTGTAGAGCATAAAACACATTCTCTATTTTAAAAGTCAAAATAAATACGCTCTTTAATCCTAATCTCAAGGTTTGACTATATAAAGAGTATCTCACTTTAAAAAAATCTCTTGAATATACTTCAAGTATATAAAGACCATAGGAACTTCCTCTTTGATGAACCAAATCAACAAATATAGTAACTTGAGTCATTATCATCTCAAGATCAACAGCACATACTTTTAGAAAGTTAGATAGAAATTATCTTGGACAATGCTTTTAAGAATGGTTATTTTGCTCATAAAAGTTATAAAATGTTATTCCTCTCTTCTAGTCTTGTCTAGACTACTTGGTTCAACTTCTGCTCAAGTTATTATTACCCATTTTGTGGGATGGGTTACTAAAACATAAGGAATAAACAATGCTCATTTTGATTTGCCGAAGTACACTTAGTTTGATTTAAAACAAATAAATAAAGAAAATAAAAAGAAAGATAGGGTAATTAAAAATACAATGATCTTCTCCATCCATCGCACCCCATCCCACCTCGCCTACCGTTGCCGTCGCCGCCACCACCACCACCATCAACCTCCATCCATACAATTATAACTTGAACCTCATATCTACTATTCGATAGTCTCTCTTTAACATCAACAATTTGCAATATGGAAATCGACACTCCAAGATTATTATCATTCGCATTCAGTCAAGTCTTTAGGCCTAATGCTAGTTCTTTTTGTTGGTCCTTCTTCTTGAACACAACCTATGTGGCAAAAAATTCTCTATTTCTTCACCTGATTCTTTAGTTTTTTTATGCTATATGATCAAGTCTAGAAATACAACTTTCAAAAATAGGAAAATTTACCAAAATGTCACTTTTTTTTGAAAATGCACAAAAAACTTTGGTGTGCACACAATTTGTACAAAAATATCACTTTCTTGTTGTCAAATGTCTAAATTACCCTTAATTTGACTTTTTTGGAGCATTTAATGCTCCTTCATGATTGCTTTTCAAAACAATTAATGTTGTGATTTGATTGTTTAATTTGTATATTATAATCATTGAAAATATGAATATTATATTGTAAAATACGAATTTAGTTAATAAAAAATGAATATAAAATCCTTCAAAACCCTAGTTAAATTAAAAAACAAATTTATTGTGAAAGAAACCCTTATTTCATTCATCTTCTTCATCCATTTTCTTCTTCCTGAAAAAGATATTATTTCATCCATCTTCTTCATCTATCTTGAAAGGTCAGTTGTTACAAATTGTTTATATTTCTATGTAATAGCTTACTTTTTTTTTAGAATGTTAAAAACAACATGATGGTCTTGTTTTTTTAATATTCTTGAAGGAAAAACATAACAAAAATATTTTGGAAAATGTGAAGTATTACGTATTTAATGAAGTATTCAGTCATTTATTTCTAAAAATAGGTTGTGATGTTGTAGTTGTTGTAGTTGAGAAATGATTATAAACATTAATGCTACCAAACACATTTGAAACTTCTTGGCAGTTTCGACACTTGAACTGTCGAACTCGACATTTCGAAATTGTCGGGATCGAGATTTGAACTATCGTACCCGACATTTATAAACTGCCGGGATAGATAAGTAAATTGTCGAATTGGACAGCTAAAAATTCTTGACACCCTTAATTTGACCTTGTAGTATTACGTAGGTTTAAATATTGGAACGTGTCACTTCCATGCTATTATATAGTCGACATTTTGATTGTGCATAATTCTTATCGTTGCATTCCCAATATTTCAGGTATGAACAATAATTTGAGATTCATCATGTCGCACGGGGGAAAGTTTGTTTACGTGAATGACGAATGGAAGTGGACTAGGGACAAAAGCACTTCCATTTTAGTGCCGAGCGGTATCACAATACCGGAGCTATTGTTACGGTTGAACGAGAAACTTGGTGTTTTCGATCCGCTCACAAAATTGGAATTGAAGTTCAAAGTTCCGAACATGAATATGCCGCCGGCCGAAATACTCGAAGATGAAGACGTAAATTGGTACATATCAGTTCATAAGGAAACTGTCCTCTGCGTTACGACTTTGGAAACCGGCCTGCCAAGTGTTGAAATGAAGAGGGATACAAATTACAGCCAACAATTGTTTGCCGTCGCGGAAGATCACCACGCCGTACAGGATGACGAGCTCAATCATCAGCAAAGTGTCCTAAACAATAATGCAGCGGATACTCCAATTTTTGATGTTCGGACTGCACCATTAGATGAGATGTTCGACGATCCCTTACATGGTACAAATACTGGTAATATTGCTGACGTTGACGAAGAACTATTATCACATTCCAAAAGTCCGGATACATGCTACTGGATTTCCACTGTGAACATGCCAGATCTTACCGAAAGGGAAATATTTTTTACCAAGAAAGAGTTGTACTCGAGAATTTGTCTACTTGCGTTGCGAGAGAAGTTTCAATTTCAGGTTAGCAGGTCAAGTCAAAAAATGTTAACCGTTGTATGTGCTGACGATAATTGTAAGTGGATGTTACGTGCTTCGAGTGTAAAGCAGTCCGCCATCTTCATGATCCGCAAATTCAACAATGTGCATACATGTCCCATAGATTATCGTCGTAATGCACATCAACATGCCACTAGTTCCGTAATTGCTGAGCAGATTATGGGGAAATTGGATAATACCTATGGATCGTATGATCCTACCGCTATTGCTCGTGACATGGAACGTGAGTTTGGTGTGAAAATTTGTTACCATCAAGCACGTAGGGAAAAGGTCGCTGCTTTACATTTGCGATGTGGTACACTGGGTGATAGCTTTCAAAAACTTTCTTCTTACTGTCACGTCCTAGGAGAAAGTAACCCGGGGACAGTAACGTACATCGAAATAGATACTCATAACAAGATTCACTACCTTTTCCTTGCTTTCGGTGCAAGCATTCGAGGTTACTTGCACTACATGAGGCCCGTTATTTGTGTTGACAGCAGTCACTTGAAAGGTCCGTATAAAGGTACCCTTCTACTGACAACTGCCCAAGACGCCAACAAACAGATTTATCCGTTAGCGTGGGGGATTGTTGATACCGAAATGAATAGATTGTGGATGTGGTTTTTATCAAATTTGAAAGATCTTATAGGTGACTCGGACGAATTGGTGTTTGTTTCCGACAGGAAAAATAGTACTGAAAATGCCATTGCTCACCTATTTCCTCGGGCTCACCACGGGTGCTGTATTTGGCATATGGAAAAGAATTTAATCCAGCGGTACAACAACGCAAGTTCAATATTTCTATTCAAAAGAGCAGTAAGAACTTACCGGAACGAAAAGTTTGAAAGACTTATGAGACAGCTTCGTAGGGTTAGTGCAAGAGCATACAGGTACTTGGAGCGAGCAGGTTTCCCATTTTGGTCACGTGCACTATTTGTTGGCCAACGGTACAACATTTTAACCAACAACAACACAGAATCTTTGAACTCAATGTTGAGACATGCCCGTTCGTTACCGATCACGTGCTTAGTGGAACACATTCGGCATACTATGCAGAAGTGGTTTTATGAACGTCAAGCAAGTGCAACTGCATGCAATACCGTTCTGTCACCAACGATGGAGAATGAGTTATGGACGACGTTCGAAGCAGGTACTAGGTTGCAAGCGCATGGCTTGACAAATAACTTAACACAAGTTGGAATATCCAACAACACGGACATTATAGACTTCTTCGAAAAGACGTGCACTTGTCGTGAGTTCCAGCTGAATCGTATGTCGTGCGTTCATGCAACCCGTGCTGCTTGCTTGAGAGGTAAGTCATTGTACGATCTGTCCTCACCGTATTACACATCCGAGTACTGGAAGGGTGCCTATGGAAAAGCTATATATCCTATTCAGCGTGAAGTGGACTGGAATGTTTCACCCGAAATTACAGGTACTCCTATTATGCCCCCTAGTGTGCGTCGTCCTCCAGGTAGACCACCCACACAACGTAAGCGATCCAGACACGAGTACACCACACGGCTCAGGAAATGCACTCGCTGCGGTGGACTTGGTCATAACCGGACCACATGTTTGAACCACACTGTATCACGTCCGATGAAAGCAGCATTTTGTACGTGAGTGGTTGAAGTTGTAAGTGAAGTGTTCCCCCGATGTTGTTTGTATATGACAATGTAAATACTGTATTACTGCTTTCATTCTCTTACGCATAAACATTACTCTTTGTTTTGTTAACATTTGCAGAATGCAAATAGGCACAACGCACTGCATAACTGTCTCGAATCAAAATACAATTTTGTTGTGCATAACATTGTTGCCGTTGTTGACACATGTAAATAGAATGTACGGAATATGAAAAGTTCAACCATTATACAAGTTTCCTTTGAAATGCATATTACGAACACATCATTTGTAGCGCATAGCACTGTCGGCAAAGTTCACAAACTACGTTCAATGTACACATTAGGTTGTGTTCGTTCACCCAAACTACATGTTATATGAATATGCATACTATATACATAGAAAATTTGCCAGTAAACCCTGACAGTTCATCTGTCGTTCCCGACAGATGGTGCCTGCCATTCTCAACAGTTGTGCGACGCTTCGCTTAACAAAATACAAAAAACACATAACTTGCCAACGGAAGTTTCCTACTGGCTACATAATTGGTTAAGTGTCACAAAATCCATCCGTTAGAAAAAATCACTATACATACATACGTAGAAACCCACACACGCAACAAAGCCGGACTCTTCACTCGGAGCTAACACTTGAACCTTCTTCCCACCGTCATCATCCGAGCTGATGACAATTACCTCGGGCGATGGAACGCGACCTTGCCCCTCATCCTCGTAACGTTGAACTTCGTTTGCACCCATAAATGGGACAACCCATTCAAGCACATTTCTTGGAGACTCACCTTCATCATTTACAACTTCGTCCAGGTTCGGAAAGGGAATGACAGTGATGGCTCTCCTACCACCATTCGAACTCTCTTCCTCATCGTCCGAAGAAATTATGATGCGATATAGCGAGGTTGAACCGGGTGTCGGCATCGGCTCCTGAAGTGTCAGCGGTGAATTGCTTCCCGTGGACGATGCCATTATTTTCGTACGAAGAAACAGACTTCAAATACTTTGATACGTTCCTGCTACAAGATGCCTCAGAAAGAGTTTCATATATCCCACTTGAAGAGTGCAAGCCTTGCTTTATACTAGAGGTATATGAGGACATTTAAAGCAATTTACCAATCAACCACCATTTCATTTCTACTTAACACTTGATTGACCATTGGTGTGATGGTTAAGGGTGTAAATGTACTTTAATGCAGTCCATAAATGGTGAGAATTATGAGTAAATTGTACCCAAGTGCAATACCTACAATGGCAACATTCCTGCAATGAATTTGTACTTACATTACTTAATAGAATTTTTGTAGTCCTTAGTCACAATTGAATATCGTTTTTAAATTCTAAATCATATGAATTGCATGAAAAATTGATAAAATTAATGCCCCTACCAATGAAGATAAACATTGGATGACTTTACAAGCCATTTTTAAAATAAACTTTAATTTCTATGAACAAGCGAATTTATACTAAAACACATGTCGAAATAAACATACATCGGTTGTAACGTTGGGGCCAATGTAGCAAAGATAACACCGAATTTTTCATTCTACGGTAATGCGAATTTTACAATAATCATTGTCCTCGATCGTTGGACCACACTCCATTACACACAAGATCATTTCATACCATGACTCATTTGTGCATGTATAACACCTTCAATTCCAATGAAATGAAATTACAGAATACTACTACTTCATCAAGTACCATGAACATCAAATTAATTAGAGTACAAACAAATGTCATGTCTCAATGTGCGTTCCACTTAATCATATCCCCATATGGAATTGAAGTAATCTCATAAACCCCCTTGACATCATCAACCACATCATATGTGATACGATGTAATCGTCTCCACAGTTGCACCTTCAGGCATGAACCCAGGTTTGGATCCCTTTGGCTGTTATTTGGTGCTATTAACTACACCTCTTCATCATTGTACAAAAATTTGTCATCACACCTCAACTGAAAAATCAGCCCTTCGAATTAATCAGCTGCCTACCTGCATCAGGTGTCCACTAAAGTAAAATGACAAAACAGAGCAAGTTCGTAACTATCCATCCAATCAACGTAAGAACCAAAAAATGTACTCACCCATGGAGTAGAAAACGTGCAGGCAATCTAATGACAAAAAAATGAACCCTTTCACATATCATAAACAATACATACCATAAATATAATGGTGAAGCCAACATACAAGACAAGGAAGGTATCGCACCAGACCAACACAGAGGCTCATGTTCGCTGGTTAACAGCTTCGAATGGCCGTAATTCGAGCGACTATAAAATTCATAAGGAGTTCATACTCCACTTCGTGTTGAGGCTTGGTGGTGGCAGGTAGATTATTGTCAAAACCCTTACTGGGAAGACGATAACCCGCGAAGGTGAAAGCTCCGACACCAGCGATAATGTTAAAGCTACAATTCAGGACAAGGAAGGACTCCCACCAGACCAGGAGTCAACTCTGCACTTCGTGCTGAGGTTACGGGTAGGCATGCATATTTTTGTGAGGACTCTAACAGGAAAAACTGTCAGTTCGTGTTGACAAGTCATATGACTGGGATGTGATAAGTGTGTTTTTACACACTTATTTGGATCATAAACATGACTTAAACATGGATAAAATGGTTGAATTGTGACTTAATCCAGTTAAATTTATGCATTGTAGGTAATTCAATGGAAATTGTGGAATTCAGGAGAAAAGAGCCGAAGAAGGACCAAAACGCAACAATTTGATAGTTCGAGGACCAAAGGTGCAAATATTGAAAAGTTGAGCTAAATGCAAAAAGAGAGGGAAGACATGCCAAGTATGAGCTCAATGACAAAGCAAAACAACTGGAAGAAGAAAATATTGAAGAGGGACTGAAATGAAGACAATTGAAAGTTGGAGGACTAAAGCGCAAATACTCAAAAGATATGCCGAATGAGGGGCATAAGAATAGATGGTATCAATCATCAATTGGAAGATAAAATTTGTTGAAAAGATGAAGAAATCGAAGAAAGAAGTCAAGAGAAGCAACAAAGAAGTTCGGGGACCAAATTGAACAAACCACATAGATGTTACATCTATGCGACCGCATAGTGTAACCTTCTATGCGGTCGCATAGAAGGCTCCAGGGACTCAATGAGCCCAAACAAATTGATCTATGCGACCGCATAGATTCCTTCTATGCGGTCGCATAGAAGGATTTTTAACACTCGGGCGCGGTTTTTCGTTTTGGTTGAAACTCCTTCCCTACTTAAATTGGACGTGATATAAATACCAAAAAATCATCATATGAAGGGGGAGAACGACCAGGGAGAAGGAAGAAACCAAAATTGGAGGCAAGAAACTTGATTTTGGATTCAATTTCACACGAGCTCGAGACGGGATTGAAGATTATACACACGGATTGAAGAACTTCAATACGGGTGTATTCTTATTATCTTTTAATTTCGTTTTTCAATTTCTTGATTTT